ACAGCTTCATCAAATCCTAACCAAAATAATGGGTAGTAGCATATAAATAATTAACTCCCTTGCCTCAATTAAAACCACTTTGGGTTCAATTAAGAGTATCTATAGCCTTAACAATGTAAGACTGGCTGTAATCTTACAACCGACAATGTTTATGTTAATGAGTCTTTTATTTTCACCAGCAAAACAGATAAAATTATGCTGCTCCTTGGAAATTTACAGCAGTGAATCATGTTTCTACAATTTCTGACAGCTCCAGTGACAAAAAATGGCCTAATTTCATGAACAGGCTTTAGTAACATGTATTGCTCAAGTGAATCCTCAATGGCATCCTAAAGTCTCAAACAGTAATTAATTTCTTAAGCAGCTTTGAGAAATAGTTCTGAAAAATAAAATCAGTGATTCTGCTTAAAGCAGCAAGCCTATCCTGTACTTCCATTCCAATGTTCCTGCCACGACACCATTTCTCTTGCTACTACTACTGACCAAGTAGGGTATTCCTCTTGGCAAAGAAAAATGAAGTAATTGACATCTCAACAGACAAGCAATTGGAAGAGCCATTTTAGTAATTCCATATTTCAACAGAAAGACAATATATGATAAAATTCCAGTGGTGCGCATACTTGATTACTGTACAGCCATGCAAATGCAACAATGACTGCAAACAAACTAATTTACTTGGTTACTGATAAAAGTGAAATTCTGGAAATCAAGTCTTTAATCTTGAATTAAGATGACTTAAGAAGAGATTTCCAAGTCTTGTCACCTCAGCAATCTTAAAATCAGCACCTGAATTTCTATGACAGAACAAATTTTTAAAGGCTTCATGCTGATGAGAGTGTTAGTAAAGGAGAAGCACTGGTCTGTCTAGTTTCAAAGTGCAGGGACAGGGAGTAGATTCTGGAATGAAGAAACAGGAAGATGGCCCAGCACGAGGGCCTTGGCATATTTACAGCAGAGGCACGGGAGAGAGGTTGTTCGACAGGCTTTTTACCACCAGCAAGTTCCTCCGTCACTTGGTAGAGCACTTCTCAGAGCCAGCACGGAAAGGAAGCCCACCAGCTCACAGACAATGCCCTCAAGCACTGCCATGTGCAGGTGAAAATGACCACATGAAGGGGAAATGTCCCTGTCCCTCAGCAGACACTGATTACGGCAGTGCCCCACAGCAGCACACAGGTCTGGCCATGCCCTATCAAGCCTGCACAGCACCTAAGGAAAGGACAGAGATGGAAGATGAACAGCTTCCATGTGTCAAAATGGCCATGGCTAATCCCCAGTCCTGAACAGGGAAACTGATCCACACACAATGCAATACACACCAGCTCAGAGCAGTATGGCATCCCCTTCCTTAGAACATGACTTCTGGAGCACAAAGCAGAGTTGTGAGCAGTGGAACTGTTTAAACAAGGACTCCACACACTCACACAGCCCAACTGCTTGTTTCCAACATAAAACACAACGACGTTTCACTTCTGAAACACTTGGACTTTTCTCCTCTTTGCTCATCAAAGGCTAAGCTCACTATGCATGGTGAAAAATACTTGCACCACCTCAGCCTGCCAGAACTCCAAGAACTTCAACCTGATGTTTCAAGAGACTGAAAAAACTCTTCCACAAAATATATGGCACCCCTAACAGCTCTATATTTAATTTCTCTTCAACACCTTTTAAATAAATATATATTTAACTTCTACATCCAAAGAAAACTTAATTGAGTATTGTCTTTGGGATTTGTGAAATAAAACTGAACATCATTGATGAACTGTACCTGACCAGATACAGCAGATGAATAATTTGGCAAAATTCCAGGAAGGGTTAAGGAATGTTCATCAGCTACATTTAATTAAAAATCAGTCAATCTTACATCCTACAACTACTAGTTCTACAGTTGATACTAGAGGAGTGGGGGTAGAAGGAAATGGAGTACATCTCTTTTTCCATTACTTCATAGTGTATCCAGCCTTATGTGTATCAAAATGCCAATTTAACCATTCCTGTGCTCTGTTCACTATTCTACCCTTTCCCCTGCCTCCACCTGAACTATTCTCCAGTAATTTCTGGACTGCCTAGAAATTATGTGCGTTCAAAAGAATCACAAAGACTCAATTATTTTAGATGTTCAAATGCTGATATCCACTTTTGCTCTAAATTCCTCAGAATCTCTGGGCAGTAGAACATCTACTTGTAGACATAACAGCAAATAGTCAAAACTATAAAAAATATATGAGCTAGACACTTTTATTTTAAATGGAAGTGCAGGTTTAAGGAGAACAGTGATTGCTAATCCTGTGGGTGTTTTTTTTATTCAAGCTAATTATGCAGATCTCTTTCCTGCTGTACTACAGGAACTCTGAATTGTAAAATGTCTTTCAAATGGAAAAATGTTTCTATTAGAAACTCCACATGCCTGTAAAGTGACTAGAAGAGATTAGTCTAGTTACAGTGTGTTGAACACACAAAGCATACACACTTCTGAACTCAGAATTTGTCAGGTAAGTGGAAATGCTGTCTTTGAGCAAACCCCTACACATGAGAAAGGTACTGACCATGCAAGATGCTTACTACTGAACCAACAATCAACCCAACTCTAAAAGCTAATTATTGCCCTTTGCTAGGCAAAGCTGGGCAGGTTGGTAACATTTGTATTACAGGTATATATATCTTAAAAAAAAAAAAAAATGAGGCCTCAGGAATTGAAAACACACACAAAAGCACATTGAAAAACACCCCAACTTTATGCTCACTCGCAAAAATACAAGGCACTTATCCACTCAGGTCCTGTGTTTATTTCCAGGGAATTCCGAACGGGAATGGGTTTCTACCTGTGTTAACAGCCTGTGTACCAGCAATTCCGTGTCTGTAAGGTATTGCATCCTTTCAGTAACCCTTGGGCCAGTTCCCAAAGCACCTGCTGACAAACCTCATGCGGGCACGCTGCACAGGACACACGGCCTGGCTGGGCCAGGAGGCAGCAGGGCTTTACCAGGACCAGCTCCCTCCTGGCTCAGGGCTGCACAGGCAGCTCCTCCCGCTGCTTCCTACAGAGCACCACACGGTGTGCCAGAGATACAGGGGCTACAGGCTCCAGAAAACACGTGTACAATGAGCAGAGGCCGCAGCATGACAGACGTGTGAAGGGAAGAGGGAAGGCACACAAGGGAAGTAATTTTTCTCATGGCCTGCACTCAGGACTCCCTAAAAGATGTCTCACTGATTCAAGTCAAACACATAACTAAAACTTCACAAAGCAGGGTCACTATCTGTAGCAGGACACACAAGCACTTCATTAGCAAAACTTTCAGTGTGATGAAAACCAGCTTTGAGCCTTTTCTATTCACCACGTGTTATAAAGATACCACATCAGAAGGCAGTCTTAAATACCAGACTGCACATCTGTCTCCCAGGCTCATCCCTGTGAGACACAGGAAAAGACCACAATGATACAACAGCTTCAGCCTATCCAGACACCTCAGACTCCACGATTTTTATTAAAGACCTTCAACTTGAAAAAAAGCATACAGAAATCTGCTTGCACTGGGGCACACCTTTTCTAGTCTGAATCAAGCTTTGAATGCAAGGCTGCTGAGCCAGCACTTTCTCTAAAGACACACTTTTTCCTTATTTGTTCCTGCCCTCCACACAAGTACTCAGACACATCCAAGCAAAGGGAAAAATTAAAAAAAAAAAAAACCAAAAAAAAAAACCAACCAAACCCGCTCAGACTGAAACAGGGAGAAGCTCCTTGATTCAGTGTACCCTGTAATCACACAAACCCTGCTCAATGCAAAGGAGGATGGATCACTGAGCAGCAAGGCAACATCTGCCCCAGCCCATAACACATGAAAAACCACACTCAGTACAAGGTCATACCAACTCGAAAGCATGACTGAATCTTTTCAGAGATTTATAGTTCATATTTACTTTTTAACCCTAACTGAAACTGCATGTCTCATGGCCACATGCCTGTGCATAGGGCTTTCTAGTTCTACATGCTCAGTTTCCACAAAATATTTTGGAAACAGAAGTGACAGAAGACTGTACACATCCCTCCCACTTAAGTGGCAAAAGTTTACAGAACCTTAAGAGTGCTGTTGCTCCAAGAGGACAACAGTACTCATCCTACTTCTGATCTTCGGAATGACTCAAAATAGTAGCCTAAGTCTTTCTGAAAGACAACATGAGATTTTTAGACAAAACCGACTTCTTCTGAGAGAAAACAGCTTAATCTGGATACAAAATCTGGTTAATAAATCCACTGAAGCTGCTCACTAACAAACTTAAGACACTTCCAATTCAACCCAAGTCCTTAGAAAGATAAATGTCCCAGCAACACCGCATGAAAGCTGAAACAAGTTCCTTAAGATGTAGCTGAATTGGGCCCCTTTTGCTGGTATTAGGACTGTAGACCATCTTAACCTCATTCTGCAAACCAGGCTTCTCGCCTAAATTACACTGAATGCTCTCTCATCCATATGCCAGCCGCCACCCAGCAAAATCGATTGACAAATTTCCATAGGAGCTGGCTGCAAATTAAACTTCAAGAAGACTTCAAAACCTTCATCCTTCTCCACTTCCTCCTTCGAAAGCCATCTTCTTACCGACCAACTAACATGGTTATTACCTACAGCAAAACAGTGAGTTACAAAAGAAAGCAAAAATAAAAAATGAAGCGAACCCAGGGTGGGTGCTCGGCAGGACGGAGGCTCTGCAAGGCGAGCGATGAATGAAGCGGCGGCGGGGCATTTCCCGGAGCCCGGGGTGCCTCACCGCGGCCGGCGCCGGGACCCGCGGGGCGAGCGGGCGGACGCGGCGGCCCCGGCGCTGCCCCGGCCGGGCGGGACGGGGCGCGGGCGGCGCTGGCCCCGGCTTGCCCCACCGGAGGGAGCCGCGGCCGGGGCGGTGCCGCTGGGACTCCGCTCCCCGCCGGCTCGGGGTACGAGCCGGGGCCTCCTCGACCCGCTCCCCGCCGCCGAGCGCGGGCCTCCCGCTCCGCCACTCACCAGGATGCGCTTGAAGAGCGCGTTCTCCTTGGGCGGCAGGCTCACGGACGGCATCCTCCCCGCCGCCGGCTCCGGCGCCGCCGAGGGGTTCCGAGGAGGAGACTGAGTGGGCGGGCGGGCGGGCGGGCTACGTCCCGTCTCCGCCGCTCGGCCGCCGCCGCCGCGAGCCTCGCCGCTGGAATTCCGCAGCTCCCGCCGCCCGCGGGCCCGGCCCTTCCCGGCCCTTCCCGCTCCTTCCCGGCCCCTCCGGCCGCCGCGCGCGCCGGGCTCCCCGCGCCAGCCCCGGGCGCGCTCACGTGGTCCCGAGCGGCCGCCGAGCCGCCGCCAAAATGGCAGCGCGGCGCTTCCCCAGCCGGGTCACGGCGGCCCCGCGCATGCGCCGCGGCCCCGCGCCGGCCCCGCCCCGCCGGTTGTGTGCGCTCCGCCGCCGAGCCGCGGCCGGCCCGGTGTGGTTCCGGAGCGGCAGTGCCACTGCCCGGTGCCGGCGGAGGGCGGGAAAGAGCGGAGAGCCATCGGGCTGTGCAGGGCCCGCCGGGTCTCGCGCGGCGGAGCTCGCCCGCCTGGGCGCCGGGGCACGGGCGGGGCGGGGTGGTCCCACCCCCGCAGGCGGAGCCGCGTCCGGTCGACAAGATGGCGGCGGGCCTGAGGGCGGTGAGGCGCTGGGGGCTGGTGGCGGCGCCGCCCAGCCTTGGTGAGCGGCGGTGGCGGGAGGAGATCCCCTTCGGGGCAGGCTGGTGGGCTTTAACCCGGCCCATTGACCTAGGGCCGCGGGAGCCCTGCTGCCTGGTCAGGCGGCGGCGTCCCCGCCAGCCAGTCCGCGTCTGGAGGTAGAAGAAGCTTCGTTGGTAGCTTCTCTCCTTTTACTGTTTTTAATCGAAGCCCATTAGCTGTTTTTAAATCTTTTATGTGTTTTAAGTTGGTGTTGCTTCCAGGCCGGGAGAGGGCTCACCGTGTCTCGCCGCAGTGGCGGTGCCGGCCCTTCCCTGGCAGGCTGTGCCTGTAGCGCGCTCGATTAGCGGGGATCGGAGGCGGGGAAGGCCCGGGGCTGGGGGCTTCGGGCAGGGGACTGTGAGAGGCGTCCTTATGGAGCAGAAGATGCGGGGGGAAATTGTTATTGTGGCTGGGGAACGGGCAAAAAGCGCTGCTTTGAGGTGTTGGCAGCCCGTCCGTCCCCTCTCTGGCGGGTCAGGGAGCGTGTGCTGCGGGAATCCTGCGAGCGGATCGGCTCGTTATGTTATGTTATGTTATGGAAACCACTTCATCATTGCATTCGTTCGGGGTTTGTTGTTGTCCTTTGCTATTTTCCTTGATTGCACGGATGTCAGTAAGAACCTGGTAGTCTCACCCTGAGGAATGTTAATGCATTTGTAATCTTGTGCCTTTTTAGCTTTTACTCGTTCTGCATTTGTTGTGAAAAAAGCGAATAATGCCCAACCGAACTGGCTGCGAGTTGGCTTGGCATTTGGCACCAGTGCTGCCTTGTGGGCTCTCGTAAGTGTTTTCATTTGGTTTTGTTGAACTTAACTATTCCTTTAAAATCATAATAGTGGAATGAATGCAGTGACTGCGAACTGTTGAGTTTACTGAGGTAATGGATGGTCATAGCAGGTCTCAAATTTGAAGCATGATTATGTTCATTACTTATGTTTTCCCAGCTTTATGTTGTGCTCTTATTTTAAGAAATTACCAACTTCTTAAGCTTCTCTCTGTTGCAAACAGAGAATTCTTCAAGCCTGTTGGATTAATGCTTTGGCATTATTTTCCCCATGGTCTTTCCAAGAAGAGAGAAGACCTAGGGATGTGCCCAGATAATGTTGTATTTATCACACTACCAATGCGTTCTCACTTTTCAGCTGGTTAAGGTGGTTTTAGCTGATTTCAATGGATTAAGACCCCTTTTTCCTGAGCAAAGTGCAGATGTAAGATACCTCTGTTTCAGAGAACTCACAGACTTTGTGGTGGTAAAGGAAACAGGGTGCAGTAGAATCGTGCAGGATCAACAGCATTCCCCATGGTGACAGTGTTTTCAGGGTGGGATGGGTTCCCTTTGGGGTTTCCCCCTTTTTTGGGGGTGGTGAATTCGTTGGCAGTGGTGAAGAGAAAATGTTTGTCCTACGAAGCATTGTTCTCACACCTTTTTCAGTTGTTAATTTAGATAGGTTGTGTTCTGGACGGTCCCAGTTACATACTGGTTTGCATGCTGGTAACAAGTATTTCATATTCTGCAAGCTGTCTTTGCTGTCTGGATCCAGCTGTGAATTGTATAGCTGTTTATAATATTCTGCCCTTTTATAGCTTATCAAGCAGCACCATGAGGATGTAGCGGAATATGAAAGAAGAAAAGCAAGAGCACATCAGTGTAGACAATGTTCATAGTAAGTATGCACATAACCAATGCTTTTGACTTAGCTGAACACAAATTATGAAGGTCTTTGACATCTTTTGGAAGTCAAGATACTGAACTGACTTACAGTCTTCTTTTTTTCCTCAGTACTTCACATTTTGGATTTTACTATTCTTTTAAATCATTCCCAGCTTTAAAATGATAAGTTGGCTGATCTGTATTTTCATTTATTCACAGTGTATTCCCTCTCAGCTTTCTGTCTTGAACATGCAAACTCTTAGAAAATAACACATCTCTTACAGTGTCTGCAATGAATAAAGGTTGTAAATTGAATACCTTATAAATGGCTCAGTGGCAAGGAAACAAGAGTGACTAATGATAGCTTATCTTTTCATCTTGGTTTTTCTTTTAACGTATGTACAGTGGGGTCTGTGCCTGTAGATGTGCACTATAGGGCAAAGTGTATTTAGTTATTGTCCCCTTTTCAGTCAAAAAAAACCATAAATTGTGTTTCTGCCAGCTAAGAAGTCTTTGGGGATTATGACCTCAGAGGAATTAACATGAAAAAAATCCTTATACTACAGAAAACCTTGTGGTGCTGTGGTTATTTTTCCCCATAAACATTCCTCTCCAGATAAAAATGCAGGATGTTATGAGATGTTTCTTGCCACTTTGATCACATCTATTTTTCTTATTGCTAGGAATTTTTTCTTTTCTTTTCTTAGGCTGATGACATGGTCACAAAGAGACGTGCACTACAGAGCCAAGTATGTGGTTATTGTCCTATGAATAAACGAGCACAGAAGAAGTAAAAGGTTATCTAATTACTTGTATGTTCATACATTTCATGTGCATAATTAAAAATAAATTATAAAGTCTAGAAGAAACCTGAAACTACTTTCTTTACCATTAATATTTCATTCTGCTGGTTGAAGTTGTTTTATGTTTTCATTTCCATTTCTTAGTTTATCCATCTTATTTTCAAAACTGCCTTTGCTATTCTGGAGGGTATATTATAAAATTAAACATCAGTTCAGATGAAGTTCAGTAAATGTTCCCGAAGTGTAGTCTTGCTCTGCCATCACTGTCACTGCTAAATTTATAAAATAAGCAAATATAAGAATAGGATCTGTATAAATGCTAAAATCTGCGTTTTCCTGTGAGCATTTTGGGGACTGGCCATGCCTGAGAGGTGCCCCCAGGGAAGGACTGCCCAGCCCATGTCAGTGTTGGGTGTGAGCTCTGCCTTCTGAACGCTTCTGCCCTCTCTTCGTGCCTCAAGGTCAGTCAAGGACGAAGGCTGGGAAAAGGCCATCGTGGCAGAGTGTGATGGCATTAGATGATCATTAGGGAACAAAGGAGCTCTGTACAGAGAAAGGAGGGGAAACAGGGCTGCTGCCCAACAATGCAGGTAGGACAAGGAGAGGTGCACAGGTCTGACCCGGAGACGCCCTGCGCTGTGACAGCCCGCATGGTCCCAGAGCAGCGATTCACTGCGAGCGCCTCACTGCCCACACCGAGCGCCTTTGGCACCGCGCCTAACGCGAGCGCCCTTCGCCATCAATGTAGTTGATTTCTTCTTTGGTTTTGTTTTTTCTCTTGGAGAAATTCCTTTTTAAGTGAAACAGTAGCTCCCCCCTATCTTTTCTCTCCTTGGTCCGTGCCATCCCGTTGTCCCGGGTCAGTTGTTGCGGTCAGTTCCGAACGCCGCTCCCTTGCCGTGGGGCGGGTGGGTGTCGCAGCCCCGGCCTTGCGCAGTGTGCGCGCCGCTTCCCCCGTCCCGCCGCCGCCGGGGCACCCCCGGCCGGGAGCGGCGCCCAGGTGCGCGGGGCGGGGCTGCGGCTCGGCCCGCCCCCGCGGCACCGAGGCGGGACCGGGCTCTGCCGCCGCATCCCCGCCGCACCGGCAGCGCAGAGCCGGCTCCGTTCTGCTCGCCACCATGTCCCTGTGCAGGGCCGCCTCGCAGGCGCTGGCCGCCCGCCTGAGCAGGGCTCCCGCCGCCGCCAGCCGCCTCAAGCAGCGTGGTACGCGGGGCCGGGACGGGGCGCGGACCGGGAGGCGGCGGCGGAGGGGATGCGCGGCGGGGGCGACGCGGGGCCGGGACAGGTGCGGCGGGGGCGGGCGCGGCTGCTCGGTCATGCTGGGCTCCGGCATGCTGGGCTCCGGCACTGGCTGCTGCAGAGCTCCGCCGGCAGCCGAGCTGGCCCGGGACCCCCTGCCCCCGGCCCATGGCAGAGCGGAGGCCGCTGCTGCCTTCCCTTCCTTTAAAACAGTGGGGTGCATCCCCCCGGTAGGGCAGCCGCAGCGGCGGGGCCCCGGCAGGGAGCGGGAGCAGAGCCGGTGCGCCACAACCGTGGCTTTTGGCGCATCAGGGGTTGTGTAACCGCTGTCAAAAAAAAATCTGCCAGCCGCGTTGGGTGATGGCAGCTTGCTGATGACTGTCCTATAGCTGGCTGCCCCGGGGGGAGGGTTAAGGACACACTGCCGCTGAACGAAAATATAAACGTATGCAAAGTCGTGAGGATGCCCGGCTATTGGAGAATAGTCTGAGAATTGTGTCATGAGACAGATGATGCTAAACATAACCTAGCGCACCATGGCAATGTTTTGACATCGGGATTATTTTTGCAGCTGTCAATTGCAATGCCCTGAGCTATTTTATTTTTCATGAGCGCTTTTTCAATGAGACATTTCTTATCTGGAATCAAGTCACAAAATTCCACAGAAAGCTTTGTTGACCAAGAGAATTACGTGTGGTTTTTCATGGTTATCTTTTTGAGGTGTATGGATGAATCCAAGACTGTAGTAAGAATCAGTTTATAACAAATGAATGGGTAGCACTGCTGTTACAGTTAATATGTATCAAGTCAGGTAAAAAACTCTGTAGTTCTACCTCTCTGTTGGCCAATTCATGAGGTGAAGGGTATGGATCAAAGTGTCAGCAGTCTGAGAGTGAAAGAACGTGAATTCAAATGAAAAAGCTTTTTAAAAAATTCCCTGTTATTACCCTGAAGAGAGAATTCATTACTTCTGCTGATCATAAGGAATAAGGACAGATCATTATTTTACCTACCTTACCTTAGTCAGGAGCTTTTTACATTCTTTTTTTTATTAAACATTCCTTAGTCTATATAGACTGTGCCCAGAACCTGGAAGCTGATGGTAGACGACATAGTTCACAGAAAAACACCTCTTAGGAAGAGCTCAGCCATGGAGCACCACACCCTGTGTTACTCAGTCATAGGATACATTAATATGCATCAACATCTGTTTTTATAACCTTTTTGAATCATCCTTTCCCATACAGGGTTCAGGTTCCATAATTCATTTTTGTGATCATATTTTAGCAGCACTTTACATCACTTTCCCTAATGGTTTTTGTAGCGCCTCCTCGCCAGATGTCATCTGGGAGCGTTCCTGGCTCTTCTAGAGACAGCATGATGATCTATCTCCTTGCTGGTGTTGCTGCTTTTGGTGGTTTATTTTATGTAAGTGTTTGGGGATGGAGCTGTGTGTGCTTTCTGAGCTGGCATGGTACAAGTTGTGTGCTGGGTTAGAGCATGGTCAGGATGCAAACCATCAATGAACGCAGATATTGCAGCTAAGTGCAGCCTAACTTAGAAATCAGCTTAAGAGGATTTAGTGAAGGTGAAAGCCTATTGCTTGCCTGTTCTAGTGTTACTTTGATAAGTAGTGCTGGATCTTAATGGAAAGCATGTTTAAAACTATGTGAAATGAATGTTTCCAAAGATTGTAGGGCACCTGTCTCTAACCCCTTGCCTTGTCTTGTCAACCAGAAACACTTGCAGTGTTTCCAAGTGGGCGAGGCAGATGTGAAATAAGAAATCTGAAGCTGCAGGGGGAAGATACGAACCTTGTTAATTTGGGCACAAAAAAGGAAGATAACAGCATTAGTTACTGCAAGGAAGCATGTTAAAGTTTTGTAAGCATCTGGTTTGGTTAAGCTTTTCGGTAACCATTCTCCTCCCTGCTTCTAAATGTGTCTGATTTTGTGCTTCACATCCCTAAATCCTCCGTTCTATAGCTTCCCTCTACTCTCTCCCCCAAGACCTGAGATAGTGCCTAGCACACCCCAGAGAGGTACATATGTCCCTGTCCCACAAAGTAATCCTCTTGAATGGTTAAGTAGGTGTTTGTTCAAAATATCAAACATGTATGATTGCATTTCTGAATGTATAACATAGTATCTTCCTGTCACATTTTTACCACATTACAAAAATAGAAATCTTAATGTAATTAGCTTTTAAAAAGCTGGTTTCAATTCCTGAAGCACTGCAGCACTTCAAAAGCTGCATGGTATATTGTATTTTCTTTCTAACAAAGGAGAAATATGAAATACATAAATATATTAATTTAGTAGATTATTAATTTTTTTTTAGCCTTTCTTAGGATAAATTTTATATGGATTTTAAGATGGGCAGTAACACTTGTTTAAAATCCCTTCTCTCCTTCTTGCCTCTTTGTGTTTGGTAAATTTGTAGGGATGTAGCTGTAAATTCAGGTATAATTCCCTTTCAGGCCTACAGAGTAGTCAGTTCACCCCGCAGCAAGTTTGTTGAAGATACAAATATTCTTCGTGAGAGAGCCGATGAGCAGAAAAGCAATCCTTGGTCAAGAAAGGGTGAGTTGAGCTCCTTTCTCTTGTTCCCTTGGTACTTGAGGATTTGGAACAGATTTCTATATTGTCTAATCAGGCTTTAGCACTGTCCACGTCCTTGTCTGAACTGCGTGAGTGGGACTGAAGACAGAGATGCTTGTACAGTATTGTTCTGCTACAAAGCTCCTGCTGCAGGAATTTTGGTAGTGGCCTTAATGTTCAGGCATTAATCTGGTCTTTGGTCCACCTGTGGAGTCTCTTTGAATGGAAAGAGTTGATGTGTGAATACTATTAATTGTATAATGGGTATTTGATTTACTGGAAGCTTAATGAAACTTGACTGAATACATAATGCTGTCAAAATCAATTTTGTTCTTTTGTTTTTAGTGGGGGGGAGAAGATAATATCTTTTCTTAGTCAACAGGTTGGCTTCAGGCCACATGCCATCAGGAAATACAGCTCAATAGAGGAAAAAACCTACATAAAAAAAATTAACTTGCATTGATTTTTTTGTCCTACAACCTTGATTTTGTCATTTCTAATTTGGGGTTAGATGAAATGCAGGCATTACCTAAATGTATAGTAAATCCTTACTTAGCTCTTCATGCTTGAATAATTAGACTGTGTTAGTTCAAATACTTGTAATGGAATGTTGTCCCTGTCTACATCAATTAGTGTTAACTGATGTTAATTTCGCATTAATCTAAAAGGTAGAACTTTGGCAAGCATGGCCTTGCTAGGAAAAGCAATTAGGAAAATTTCTTAAGGATATTTAAATATTTTTTTGGTTGTTATTTAAAAGAATTAAGCATTGAAGCCAGAGCACTTGAAGCTCTTCCTTTTTTTTTAAAACTATTGGCTTCTAAGAATTACTTTAATATATTTGCATGCACACAAAGAATACCTTTGATTAAAGTATCAGGAGTTTAAATTTTGTCTTCAGTGTGAGAGCATGGTTTAAATTGTCTGCCTCTATAATTATTCCTTTAGAGGTTGTTAGCTTTGAACTCCTACAACACATGCTTTAGTTTCAGAACATTAAAACTACAGACCTTAAGATTTAAAGTAGTGAAATACCTTAATTTCCAAAAAAGAAAGCAGTTTAGTTTTAAAACTCAATTGTTTAAACAAATGCTGAGAATTCAGCCACAATTTGTAATCCTTCGTTGTCCCTAAAATAGAAAATGTAATGAGGACCAAAGTGGATCTCTCCCAGGGACCTGGTGTCCTGCTGTTCAGGACAGAAGTGAAGATTACCCTCGTTACATTCTGACTGCCATAGCTGGGAGAATGGGGAAGCACTAAGCAAACCTTCCAACATACTCCCAGTGCTCTCTCTTTTCTCCTAAGGTGCCCTTCTGCAAGGTACTGAGTTCTGGCCCTGGCCTCTCCACATGCTGGAGTGAAATACCCACAGCACTGAGTGCTCAGCAACCGCTCTTGGGTGCTCTCCAGACATCCCATCATCTGCTGCTTCATAAGTCATCAATGTCACAACCAGTGGCAGATGATTGCTGCCTCCCTTTTTATTGATAGTAAGAAGTCCAAAATGTTTCTAAGGCCATTCAGGGAATACAGTTGAAACTTGTTTCCTGTATTATTTTCAATATTTGACTTCTGAATAAATGCTCAACCCAGAGTTTTTAGTTGGACTTCTGAGTAGTTAATTCCAATTCACAGTACAAAACCACTGTTGAATCAGCTCCTTTTTTAAATCCTTCTTCATTCCCAGCTGTATACATCCAAAAGAACAGAACATGAAGAATGAGCATCAGTTCTGTTCTTACTTTTCCTACAGAATCCTCTGTGTGCATTCTGAAAAGAGTTATCACCCTTCTTCCTCCCCTTTTTTTCCTGTTCCCTGCATAGTCATATTTTTGTGTTTACCTTGTCACAGAGTGCTGTAATAGCATTGCTTTTCCCAAAAGTGCCTTTGCAGTTTCTTTCCCTGTGCATTCTTTAGAGTCAATCCTTATACTTTTTCCCAGTAAGCATTGCTGATAATAGCAGTTAAAAATTCTGTTCTCAAAGTATTCTGGTATTTTTTTAGGGGCACATTAAATCAAGCTTAAAGTAAGGTCTAAAGCAGAGCTGGCAACCATATGAAGTGATGGATAGAAAAGCAGTATGCCAAGCAGCATGTTCATGGCATATTTGCTGCCTCTGATAAAAGAACTTCCTGGGTGGAAGAACTTAATGCTGGAGAGCAGCTGATCAGAGATTCTTTTGATAGGATTTTTGTGATTTCTCATGTGGGGGAAAATTCTCCCCTTGTGCCTGAACCCAAAATGTCTATTACAGAGAACTGTACATAGCAAACAAGTCTGTCAAAATAAGAGAAAGAATCATACGAGGGTTCTTTGTTTATTAGAGGGTTGAAATGATATTTAATGGTATTTTAATTAATGATAACAGACATTTAGAAAGAGATCTGATAGGAAATTTCTGTGGCTCATTTTAACTGAAAGCTACTCTCAAATTAGGGAGGGATTTAAAAAGCCCCTGGAAGAGGCCTGACTCACAGTAGCAGAAGAAAATCTGGGACATCATTTCAAATGTAAAATGATGTTTGGCTTGCAGGATGTTCTCCTTGCTTATTTAGTGAGTTTTGTCTTCCATTTGTTGTTCGTGTCCTTTAAGATTGTTCCTGATTTCTTTCTTTTTTCTCTATGACTTTTCTTTTTAACTTGTTGCAAGCTGATTCAATCTTTCTAATCTATACTCTGCTTTTACACTTTCCAGACTTTCTAATCTATGCTCTGCTTTTACACTTTCCAGACACAAGGGAAATCTCTTTCCAAACCTGAGGAAGTTAAATACAAACAAAGGACAATCGTTTACCATTGAGTACATTGCAGCCTACCTTGGGATGACTTTGTACCTTCTATTGTAAAACTCCATTTGTGTGAGACTTTTAAAGAGCTACCTATGTTTGCAAGGCCAAACCATATTGAGCTTATTACTGAATCTGCTTTGTAGAAGGCAGTTCTGACATGGAGAAGCTGGCTGTTCTGAATGAATGCACTCGATATTTGACTGTCCAATAAAGTGTACTGAATGCTGATCTTGGCTGTTAGCCTGTTCTTTGTGTGATGAATTAAGGGGTTTTTGAAAACAATGTTTTCTTAAAGGGACATGATCAGGTTGCATAATGCAAAGTTTTGATTTTTACTGAGCAATGAATGGACTTGTCTTGAAACCTGAGCACCAAATTATAGGCTTTCACTGGCATAAGAAGACCAAGAAATGAAACTGGTCTGTTTAGTTTTTAAACAGATACAAAAGAATCAAACAAATTCTGACTATGTCTCTTTAAGCTCTTTTGTTTCAATTCTCGCATAGTTGACACTTTGTTACAAACTTATTTCCAGTTCTTTTTTTTTTCTTTTTTTTTTTTTTTGCATCCTGAGTTGGTTCTAGTGGTGAACTTGTGATGTACAGTTGGTATATAACTTTTCCTTTGTGAACTTGATGTTAGTGCATGTTTGCATGGTGGTTTAGCATCCCTGTTGCTTTGTGCTGTTAGTTTTTCATGACTTGTCTCAGCTGAATTTGAAGTGATGCATGACTGGGAAACACTGTTTTTCAGGTCCTAAGGAGTTGGACCCATAGTGGTCTAAACAAGTCTTTAAAAGAGAGTTGTGAGTTGTAAAAAGAAAATAGTCATAAGTGGTCATACATCTAAAAAGTGAGCTCTGACCACTTGAAATTAGCAAGTTATTTTCTATATAAGACCAAATGTCTTATTCCCCACGTGGTAATTCCACAGAGTCGTGCTCCCTCTGGCACCTGTGTGTGTACCACCACTGGCCCTCTCAGCAGAGTGCTTTGAAGCAACACTTGACACTGTCCTTTTTATCCTTCACTGCTCCCCCAACACTTGCTTTAAGCCACAGTTTCTTTTCTTATCACTGAAACGTGTAATGAAATCAGTAATTAAGAATATGGTTTCCTCATCTTAGTTTTTTGATGCCACATTAGACAATATGGGGGATTAATTATTGATCTTTTTTGTTAATTCTGATCCCAAATCTTAGCTTCCCACTTCAAATTTAAATGAGGATGATGATGATAAAAAGTATTTGGTGAATTTTTTGTTGCATGCATGCATTTTACTCTCTTTATTGTATTGAATGAATCCTTAGAAGGTGATGCAGAAGAGGTGGATGAGGTCACTGGAGCAGAGAAGGCCACGGAAGAGGCTGAGGCAGCAGCTGCTGTGGAACCTGCAGCACAGGAGGAGAGTGCTGGACCCACAGCACAGGATGAGAGTTCTGGGGTGCCCCCAGAAGCTGGAGGGGAGAATGACTTGCTGGCTCCAGAGGAATCCCATGCTGTGGAGGAGGCACAGCAGGAAGCTGCTGCTAATTCAGAAGCTGATGCTAATTTGGAACTTGCTGATAATTCAGAAGCTGCTGCAGTTCAAGGTTAATTTATGAATGTAGTTTTTGAGTGTGTGTGTGTTGTGGGTTCTAAAGCTCTGCCTCTTACAGAACACTGAGAATGAGCATCAGTGTTCCTAATGGAGTTTGTCCTGCAGTGAAAACTAATTCAGGCATTAAGATTGACATATCATGAGCATAAGGTAATTAAGTTTATTAAATCAGTGTCTCTAAAAGCATCCCACCTCTGGCACCAGAGTTACTGTCTAAAACAAGTAGAGTCAAATGTTTTATTTCCCTAACCCATCCTATTTCTTAAGATATTAAGTTGAGCTTATAACGTGATCAGTTAAGCAGTTGTTTAGTGATGTAGTTCTCAAGGGTTTTTTAAGGAATCTAAACTCTTTAGTTCACTAGCCACTCCAAAGATATTCACACTGAATAATTATATCTGTTCTATCAATGTAAGTTAAACAGGATCTTGCATAGCAAAGGAAATTCTGTCATGGTCTCAATTCTAAGGATATATTAGACTAAATTTTCACAACACAATAAAACTTCAAATTGTTGTTAAACACTGAAATTGGTAAGTGGCAAAACATTCAGTATTTTGAGTTGTCAGGGTGTTTGAAATATTTTGATTTATTGTGCTTTTCAAAAAATTGCAATAATATAAATGCAAAACTATCCATAAAATGTGCAAGATACAGGATTGTAATTTAATTTGGCAGATTTAAAAGCATTTTTTTAAATTTTCTTTTTACTGCTAGTCTTGAGAGGATATGTCTACAACACAGATCAAACTGAGATTAAAAATATTTTGACTGCTAATCTATGGTGTTTATCACAGTACCATCAAAGGCATTAGCAGATTTGGAATGATTTTCACTTTTTTCTTGGTGACTCCGGTGAGGAATGGATGCATCCTAATTGCCTTTTTAACAAATAAACTTGAGAAATAGTGCAGCACTTCTAATTGCTGAGTTTTATGAAAGGTCTGTGTATGAATGTGGTTTTAATTCAAATGTGATTAGTTCCTGTGCTTGTCTCTGAAACCATGTATTACAAATAACATTTTAAAACAATTCCTAGTGTGATCTGCTGTAATACAGTTCATAGAAAGTAGAAGTAAGTACCTTGGCTGTGATTATTACTGCTTACATATAGAAATATTTATAAGGTAGTAGTTAAAATACCTAGAGCCCTAAAAATTTCCATTTCTAAGGAAGTAGTCTGTTTTATGTTAAATTTGGTGAATTTGGTGAATTAGAGATATGTTTAAAAATGTATTGCAGCATTTCTTGCTCTAGAGAGCAATTGCAAAATTTCCCTTTAATGTCCTAAGCACTTGCTTGTATCTGGAGGTGGTTGTATATTCCTTTGACAGTGCTTATCTATGAATAACTGTCCATGGTTGGATAAGGTAGGATCTGCTATATGGTGAATATTTCTGCCATTTCAGACAGTTAACAATGGTACCTGCCTGGAATGTTCTCCTTGCCTCAAGTTAGGCAATTTACAATCCACAATTCCAATCTGGAATTCTGTGAAATACCGTTACCAAAATGAGTACTGAACTATGTTACTCTGTTCCCAAGGTTTTAACTTTCTCTAAATTCTAATTCTCTCTACCTTTTTATTGCTTGAGCTGTCACTCTTGGTTACTGGTTCAATTCCTGTTGCTCTCCTTTCACAGTGTGTGTGGGACCATAAATTAAATTTTTCTTCAGACAAACCAAATGCTGTAAAATTCACCGATTGGCAAACTGCTATTTGGATAGAAGGCATCTGTGACTTCTGGTGTTTGGGTTGCCACCATAAATTCTTCTCCAACTCTGGTATTGAGGCTTGAGGTTCTGGCATTATCAACTGAAATAAGAGAACCAATTAGCCCCAAACTGTGCTTTTCCAGATTTCTTCCTGACTTCACTAACAGGTTTTTTCCCTATTCTTTAAAGTATTGAAGGACATGGTCTCTGTTATTTCCAAGGCCATTTGAGTGAGTGCCTGGGTTTGGGGAGGATTAGTGAGTGAATTGAATGTGCCAGTGTTTTCCATGCTGAGCTTCAAACACGCTGCAATGGCAGCTGTGTGCAGCCCAGAGAAACAACTGGAGGCTGCTCTGCACAGGAGCTGCTGCTCTGGGACAGGGCTTTGCTGAGCCCATCATGCAGTGGTGCCAGGCAGACAAAAGCACCTGATAGAATCAGTGCACGCTGGCTTGGCTTGGTGCACTACCAAATCCTGGGTGTGCTGACAATGGTGGTACTTAGAAAATTACTGAAGAGTTCTCAGGGTGATGTGCAATTGCTCATAATTATTGAGAGGCTTTCAGAATGATGTTGCTCAGTAGAACAGGCACACCATTCTAGGCATCTGTTTGTGTGAGGTGGAGGAATGAGCTTTTTCTCTTTACTGATTATGATAGACTGCTCTAACTAAATTAGGCCCTTAGAAGTTGAATTATGTAAATATTATCATATGGGGAAATATCTGTATCTGGAACTGCTGGTTGGGTAGTTCTGTTTCACATTTATCACTTTCTTTTATCTGTCTCTTGGACTGCTGCACTTACCTGATGGCCCTGCACTGGCCACTAGTCTCTTCTTCTTCCTCCTGATTTTCCTTCATAAAACTGAGTTTTAGATGAGTCATCATAGCATAACTGGAAAATCTCTGTTGGAAGAAAGTGAACAATATTTTGAAAAAAATATTCTGTAAAAGTTGTGAGCGTTGAAGAGCTCGCAAGAGCTGAGAGTTGAAGACCCAGCTGGTCCGTGGAGAGTCTGTTCAGTTTTAATCAGCATAGCCAAACAGAATTTTACAGCATGCACTGGGCTGGGGAGGAAGATTTTGGTAAAATGGAAGAACCCCTAGAAGCTCCCAGCTGAGTGCAAACAAATAAGTGGGAGAGAACTGCCTAAAATAACTGTCTTCCTATTTGTCTATTCTAGAACAAGGGGGCAAGCAGCTTCTCAAAAATGGTAGAAGGACATACAGTGAATAGTAATGCCTAAATGAATGTCACTATTAATGAGAAAATAGATGCTTTTACTAGTATTAATAGCTCATTGCCAAGACTTAAAAAAACCGTTAAAAAATAACTGTATGTATTTAAATTGGAAAGCAACAACTCACTTTGTACAATGAAATCTGTTAGCATTTAACTTACTGTACATGGTATTACCTGTGTTTGAAATTTTCCTGTAAATACAGCCACCATTGGAATATTTTTAGTCTCCTACTTTAGCGAAAAGACAGCAACAGGGACCCCTTGCTGTTTTCCTATCGTGGCAGTTCAAACCAGAATGGGAACGATAGGGATTTTGAAATTAATTTTTGGGCAATGTTTCCTGTAGCAGAGAAAAACATCCTTTTCAAACACCAACTTTTCTCCTTTAAAAACTGTGGATAAAGTGGATAAAACTTGATGCATTACTTTGTATGAAGAATGTTAAAGAAAATGTCTTGATTAGAAGTGTTTTTAGAACTCCCAAAGGATTTAATCCATCAAATTATTAGGGTGCTTTTCATACACATGGTTTATATTAACTTATGCTAGTTTTCCTTGTGATCCATTCCAGTCAGTAACTAAAGATTGTTCCATGTTAAAAGCAAACAAACAAACAATGTGAGTTGCTTCTCATTGCTACAATTCCATGCTACAGAATATAAAACAATATTCTTGAAATGTCTGAGGTATTACAAACTATTCTGGATTAATGTGACATGCACTGTTATGCTTTTATTGTGACCATTATAGGGATCTCTGAATCTTTTTCTAATAAACGACTGGAGAATAAACTCTCTTCAAGGGAACCTTCTGACCTTTAGTAAGAGCTAATGAGGCTTTTCTTGGGAGCTAGTGACCTACATCAGACACAAACAACCTGTGATGTGCTTGGCTCATTGAACACGTTTCTCTTTCTGTATGGAATGGTGAAAATTTTTATTCTTATAATGGGCTTCATAATGCCATGATTTAGGCTCTCAGGTAGACTTCATGGATTTTTATCTGGATTGCTTGTGGATGGCTTGCAAAAAGGAAATTATGTCATATTTGTGTAGTGGCAGGTTTATGAGAAATCCCAGCTTTCCTTTGCTCATCAGTTTCCCAAAGACCTTGGGCTCTGAGCCTTTGGTTTGTGTTCGTCCTATGGAATATCTGGAATGCCAGAGGGACTGAACTCCTGCTGCCCATGGGCTGGAGTGAGGGAGGGCTGGGGTTGAGCTGCCCTCATGTTGTGTCCCAGTACCAGCATGATCAGGGCAGGTTGTTCCACACACAGCTCAGCAGCTGCCAGCCATGAGTTCCTGTCCTGTGCATCCAAGGATGGGAACGATCAGACTGAAAAATAATCAGTGCTTTTCTAAGTAATTGTTCTTGCCTTGACTCTGCTTGGAACTAAAACGTTTATTTTTCCCTGTGTGGAGCTCAAGTGCTGATTTCACAGTATTGCACAGAGGCATTAGTCTGTGGTCAACCACCCAGGACCTTTTTTCTTTTTTAAGGCCAATGTAGGTGTAAAGTGGTTTTCCTTTCCAAGCAATAAGTTGAGTAACTTGCTCTAGCTGGTTGGAATCCTAACTGTTCACTGAATAAAATGCCAGAGAGGAGACAGAGAACATTTCAGATGGTCCTGAGAGACATTCCTGGTGATGGGATGTTCCTGATGGGCGTCTGCAAGCCCTCCATGCTGAGCTCCCTGGATCTTCCTGGCCAATGGCACCTGAAGCACTTGGTTGTGTTACAGGGACAGCTGCATAGCTTTGCCTGTTTTGTCCCAAACTGTATCAGTGATCATTATTTCCCCCTGTTTCTTTTGATGTGGTTTGAGCCCCCATGAACAGAGGGAGAAGGTGTGGAGCCCAAGCTTCTTGTGCTCTGTTTTGCAGGTTTTCTCAAAGAAATCCTTGAATTACTTTTCCAACGTGACAGAATTTGACTCTTTAAAAGTCAATTCTATTCCACTGCCAGTTTTCCATTAGCAGGTCTTTAAACTATTAAAATGAACCAGGAATATTCTGCCCTGCTTATCTTAACATTTCAGGGGACATCCTGAGACCTTCAATGGACCTGACTGAGGAAGCTTTCTGTAAACAAAAGCATCACATTCTAATGTGAGATGGTCTCTAAAAGACTGTAAATAAAATGCTGTTTCTAATTTCACAGTTAAATTTTACTTTCCCCCTGCTCCCTGCCCACCTTTGGAATTAGTGTGTGACATTGGTTATGCTACAGGCAGCTTGAATTATCAAATCCTTGTTTTGCACTCCAGCTTTGGTTTGCGTGCTCCAGGTGGATTCCATTTGTATGATGCTGGATAACTTGTGTTATTTTAGCTTTATAAAACCAAATTCTTCTGCAAAGAATATTTTTAAAGTAATTGAACCTGGTGTTTGGCATTACAGATACCAGCCTCATCTTGACTGCCTAGAAAAAAAAATCATCATATGAGGGATACTGCTTCAAGTAAAGTGATTCACTCAGAAAAGTGTATTTTTAAATACCTGTAAAAATTGCAGGATACCAGTGCCTGTTTAATTTTTTTTGTTGTTGTTTCTAAATGGAAAGATCACTTTTAAATTAATCAAAGAATTAGGATTAGAATCAAAATATGTTAGCTTTAAATGGGTTGGTAAGGAAATGCAAAACTGAGGGAAGAAATACAGGCTGAAGTCCTGAGAAGGCTGGGTTATCTTGTATAACCTATTATAAAACTTCTGTCCTGCTGGAAGGAATCCCCACCTCTCCCCAAGCAAGGAAAAGACTGAATACAGCTTTCATTTTAAAATCTGGAACAGCTGTCTTCTTAATCTCTATTGTAAATCAGGAAAACATACTTAGAAAACCATTTAAAAATACAAGGTAGAAGATTAAAATCCAGTAAGATTTTAAAAAATAATATACAAATTAGTTTGTATCTCTTCCACCTCCTTGTTTCAAGGTCATCTTATATCATGTTTTCTACTGGGTTGTAGGACATGATTGCCACTGTAAGCTGGCCAAATTTTGCACTAGGGCTTTACATCCCAGACAAAACCCCAGGCTGTTTCTGCATAAAAACTGCCCCAGGAAAGTTTGCTTTAAAAGCTTGAAGGCTTTTGGGGAAGAGGCTGTGTAAGCAGTAGGATCTGGGTTCTGGGAGTCAGTGCATTTGCATGGGGTTCCCTTTATTATTAGCAGGAAAAAGTCAGTCTGGGCGCTTTATTTTTTATTATCAGCTGCAGCAGGGATGAGTCAGTCACACAGGGCACACAAGTCCCTGCTTATCTTGTCGCTCTGTTCTGCTGAGCTCACAAATATTCACACAATTCAAACTGACCATCACAAGCATGCAGAATCACCCTGCATTTGGGCTGCTTTCCACTCTAAGTGCACAGAAGTGTGTAGCTCTGCACTCACTCTCAGGGCTGCAAGTTCAGAGCTTGTAAAAATTGTCTTTAAAGACTGCAGGAATTACTGCTTTACATAGGAAGCAGGTTTTCATGCGTTTTCTTTCACTGAAATTATAGGGATGGTTTCCTAAAAATGACATTTCTAGGTGAAATGTTGGATATTGTGCTAATAAGCTACTGGAGCTTCTTGCCCAGCCATGTTTTGTTCCTGCAAGTGCAATTTGGGAGGCTGCATTTCTTCTCCACATGGTTCTCTCCTAAAGCAGAGGAGCTCAGGACTGCCTGGGAATTCCTGTAGCTCTTGGAAATGCTTGCCCTCAAAATTCCTGCTGTGTCCAAGTCCTGAGTGCTTTGGCAACAGCTGTTGGTGCAATACGCCATGCCACGTGTCTACAGTTAGCAAATGTGATTCGTTTGACTCCTCTAAGGCTTTAAGTTCTTTTATATTGTCTTTTGTTGAAACCATGGAAAAGTTAAGGTCCTGATTCAGACCTGTAAGTGCTATGGTATACCTAAATGCCTGGCAAAATTGAAGAAAGCTGTAGCCAGCAATACTGGGATGCAGCTACTTATCCCAGGAGAAAATTGAAAATTGACAAATAGCCAGTGAAAAAGCTCAAGAGAAAAAAAAAAACTTTCAGGAAAAAAATATATATATGCAGAGGGTGAGATTTTTTGCTGGCAGTATAGCACCTTGTATGAAACTGTGAAGTAATCCTTGTGTATACTGTAGAGCAATATTCTGTAAATTCTGTAGAGTAATAGATCGTGCTAGGATGGGGGGAATCATAGCACACCAAATGAAGCAGGAATATAGTGAAGCCATGTAACTCCAGTGCTTTTGATGAAGGATATGTGTGTGCAGGGGGAGCTTTCCCCCAGAGAAGGAAGAAGGAGCCCAATGAGCCCCACTTTTGTGGATATGAAGGGAAACAAAATAATTTGTGGCAGGGTTTAAATTGTATGGGTCAGGATGGAATTATCCCTTGGCTGAGATCCATTTGGCAGGAATGCTGCAGGTGGGTGTTTTGGTGAAGGTGTCAAGGAGCTGGAGTGGTATTGTTCTATAAGGATAATAGAGCAGCTGGGCATTCAGTGGAAAGCATAACATTAAAATGCCATGTGTCCTCATTGCAGGGAAGCAGTTGCACAATTCAGATTGTTTTGTTAACTTACAGCCTGTGGAAATTGTAAGAAATCTGGCATAAACAGACAAAATGGATCATAGTCATCACTGCATGAAGAAATGCAGGGACTTCAGCTTTTCAAACTAATCATCATTCAGGAAACAACACAGAACCCAGTGAAGATGCTGTAAATCCTCTACAAATATTTTGAAAAAAAATAAATAAGCCTAATATTTTAGTATTTGAACTAACAAAAGTTAGGAGTGATTTTAGTTACCTCCATTACTTGCTGCAGAGTTCATGAAAGGCTTATTAACAATAATTTAACAGACAGAAAATCCTTCATCCGAGGATTATGGAAAATGAGTCACCATTGTACCAGGCAGAGATTAAAGTATCTTGTATGGAAATAGGGTGTTACTGCAGGATTTTACATGGAGCAATTGCAAGAGATTAAACTGGATTGAAAAACTATGAAATGCATGCCGATTAAAAAAAAAGATAGAGGGTGTGAATAGCACTGGGAAACAGGGAAACACAAAGGAGAAATGCCTAAATTCTGTAACTCTGTCACACTTTGCATATTTTTTGCATTAGATTGCATTTCTGATTGCCATATGGTTCAGACCAGAGGCAATTTTTTAGTACAAGTGGTTAATGTTTGGTTTTAAGGCAGGTATTCATGTAGAAGACAAATAAACACAATTCCCATCCAAAGGAAATGAGGTTTTGTTAAAAAGCAGAAAAGACTGTGGTGCTCCCTCTAGTTGCCTACTGATCTACTCTTCTTAGTGCAAAAGAAATTAGAATACACACAAGGAAAAAAAAATTAAATACTATCAGCCAGAGAAAGAACTTTTGGTAATATAAGCTGAATGTTTGATGCTACAAACTGAAACCTAGCAGCTTGTTACCATAGCGAATATGTGGCATTACATCAAGTATTGCTTGCTGTAAAATATCTAAAGTTCCATATTTCAAATGTACTATTTCTATTGCATGACTTTTCCCTATAAAGGCAAAAGTGCCAATTCCTGAGCATTTCTTTTCCTGTTGCTTCTTCAAAATCCAGAAAGCATTCTGAAGAGTAAAGTGAAATAATTGATGTTCAGAATATGCTGTATTTAACTAGGGTGATGTGTTCTCTGTATGGAGACTAAATATTACCTGTTACAGGCTTTTTATAGAGACAGACTGCTTTATGCTTTAAGGAGTATTGAAAAATGGCCAGCTGGCCATTGCAGCCTGAATTGCAGCCTGAATCTTCAGCCTGATGCTAGAATATTTTTACATTAAAACTACCCATGATGTCTTTCCAAGGTTATGTGTAGTGTAGATGTTATGTCCTAGGAATTAGACAGAAATCAGAAAACAAAGCAACAGTATCTGCAAGAGAGAATTTATACATTAGAGAATATTTGCCTATGTCTATATACATGAAAATAGTTCCATCTGTGGTGCAGTAGAAGGAGGCTGCTAAATTTGATCGTGGCAGTGGGGTGAGCTCAGCGCCCTGCTCAGTAAGTGGCTGGATGTGAACTTCATTAAGAACAAAAAATTCCCCTTGTGCTGCATACAACACATTTTATCAACATCTGCCTTGATTTGAAAGACAGAATTTTCCTAAATTGCATTGGTGTAAAGAAAAATATGGTGCATGATTTTATTGTTCTATCTTAGGGAAGCAAACCAAATCTGTAACTTGATATGAAATCTTAGAAGTGTGGTTTCACCAGAAAAGTCAAGCAGGTTCTAATATCTTAGAAAAGGTAATAAATCCTTTAGAAGTAGCAAGGGTGTACACAAAAAAAAAAAATCCCGAAAGTATTACTTGCAATGCAAAACTCACAAAACAATGGACCAGAAAGATGAGGAATTAATTAGTGTGACTAGCAAGCAGTAAAATAATTTTTTAGAAGAATTTTGCCTCTCTAAACCTAAAGTTCGAGCTGTCAGAATAGATTGTAAAAGGTCTTATGTTAGAAAGTGTGAATGGTATGAATAAAGCTTGCAGTGCTTTGATGCAACTATAAACAATCTGATAAACAATTGCTTTTGAAGTTGAGTGATGTAATTGAATGCAAAGAAAAATGTGTGTTAGAAGCATCACTGTTGAGATTTTAAGCAGGAGTTTAGAAGGCCTGGCCTCTGAACTCTTTTAAAATTAGAATTAAAAAGATAAAAGGAAAAATGCCTGCATACCTAATATAGCTATGTAAATTCTATCCCTTTAGTCCAAGGATCCTTTGGACTAAGGGAAACAACTTGGTTGACTATTTGCCATTGAAGAAATAATTTCCAGTGTTTCTCATTGGTGTTTTGTCTCCATTTGCAGCTTCTGAGGAGGAGAAGACAACTGAAGAGGTTGCTAAAGAGCCCTAAAGGTACACAGTACAATTGCAGCGTGTGGTTTTCTGCTCTTCACCCATCTTTTGTTCTCAGTTAGTGGCACCTGCAGTATGTGGTAAATGCTCACGCACTGTTATGGTGAATTTGTATTTCTGCTCTCAACAAAATGTAACTTTATTGAAGTATTTCTTATTTTTTGGGAACAACTGCCGGCATCTTTAAGGGGCTAGGGAGCAAATCCTATATAAATTGTCACAGTGTGTGTTTATTTATAGCTTTATCTTAGTCCCATGCAAACTGGATAAAGATCTGAGAGTTGTAGCTTTCTTCCAAGCAAAAAATGTCCTTTGGATATTTGGTTTAAATTATATGTGGCTACTGGACTTCTGGAATATTGTTCTATGCAATAAAGCAATAGCCCCCTGGACTGTTTTATTTTAAATAAATTATTTCATTATTAGTCTCTCTGCACTTGCAATTTGTGCTAATGAAAAATACTGAATATCCTTTCTATTTTGCTAGTGTCTTTCTCAGGTGGCTTTATCTATTATTTTATTGTCAGAAAAGTTGCAAGCACGTGCCTCTCAAGGTTTTTATTTTTGCTCAAACTGAAAGCTAAGAGCACCTTAGGGTACCACATCAGAAAACCAAATGACCAAGAAATTCTTTCTGCTCTGGAACACATAAATGTTGTGGTATAGAGAAGGCAAATAGATGAAAAAATAGATTAATCTCCTACTAGTGTACAGGTTCACTCAATTCTGCTTCAACTGCTTGGACTCTTTTTGACAAAAAAAACCTTTTTATGAGTATAGCAACACAAGTTTACAAAAGGGCCTCTCATTGACTTTCAATTTGATCTTGTTGCCAGGGAGAAGATGATTTATGAAATATTTTACCATTTGGTGCTGGAAGATTACTGGTCATTTGACCAGTTTGCAAGTCTCAAACCACACTGTATTCCTAGTCAGGAAATCATTATTTCTTTTTTCTTTTTTTCTTTTTTTCTTTTTTTTTTTT